TGTCGCCGCAATGCAGTTGGGCATTTGTTTACTTCGTTCTCTTTTATTGCTCACAATGCGATTCTTAAGCTAAGCCTGTAAACGAATTAATCAAAGCCAAGAGCGCAATTAAGCAGCCTTTCGTCCGCACAGGATGACGGAGGATTTGTAAAAAAGCGACAACTTGTTAGTTCTATTAAAGTAATTAAGCGCCAGTTGTCAACGCTATTGGAAATAATGCCAATAAACATTCCCAGGCTTGGAAAATGGCAAAGAAAGTCACGGCCTGCTAGCATTCATAACTGCGTGTTCCTCTAATTGTTGCCGTTTTCCCAACAACAATTGCAACAACAACAACAGCAATAGCAGCAGCAGCAGCAGAGAAATATAAAATAAACTTGTCCATTGCCATTTTGACAACTGCAGAGCTGCAGGCGGGAGATTTCTTCATCTTTATTCACATGCAGCACTCATATGTGCGACAGCGATGCGATGATGCTGTTGCTGTGGCTGTTGCTTGTGCTGCTGTAGCAACAGCAATCAGAGGCGAAACCACAACCGCAACAGCAAACACAGCAACAACAACAACAACAACAGGCAACACTAACAAGCGACTTTAGCCAAATTAAGTTGTCCAGTTTGCGGTGTACGCACAGCGGGTTGCAAATAACAATCTCCTGTTTACAGCGGCAACAGCAACAACTACAACAACAGCAACAGTACACTAACAAACAACAGCAATCAAAATTGCAATGCAGCAATACGAGCACCATATTCAACAACAAAAACAACAAATATATATATACATGACAGAAAAAAAAAAAAACTACCATCGACCTAAAAAACGCGTTTAACTCATATTTCTTGCCAGTCTCTCCCTCTCTGTCTATGTCGCTTAGGTTACCTTCGCTCCTACCTCTGTGCTCTATGTGCATTACTTATATAAATTGTCAATATTTGACACATTTACGTGCAAACAAAGACTGAAAAAAATGAAAGAATCAAAAAACATATATCCGAAAAATGTTGCCGATTCGAAGCTTTATCAGTCCGAAAGCAGTTAGCAAAGAAACGAATTGAAACTCAAATACTCTATATCTTTAGATACAGATACAGATACAAAAAAAGATACAGATACAGATACAGATACAGATACAGATACAGATACAGATACAGATACAGATACAGATACAGATACAGATACAGATACAGATACAGATACAGATACAGATACAGATACAGATACAGATACAGATACAGATACAGATACAGATACAGATACAGATACAGATACAGATACAGATACAGATACAGATACAGATACAGATACAGATACAGATACAGATACAGATACAGATACAGATACAGATACAGATACAGATACAGATACAGATACAGATACAGATACAGATACAGATACAGATACAGATACAGATACAGATACAGATACAGATACAGATACAGATACAGATACAGATACAGATACAGATACAGATACAGATACAGATACAGATACAGATACAGATACAGATACAGATACAGATACAGATACAGATACAGATACAGATACAGATACAGATACAGATACAACGATACAGATACAGATACAGATACAGATACAGATACAGATACAGATACAGATACAGATACAGATACAGATACAGATACAGATACAGATACAGATACAGATACCCTATGTACATCTACATTTATATCTATAGGGAATTCGAACAATTTCACAAATTTAATTGAATTCATCAAAAATCATAAATTAACTTAATTTTTAAGAGACCTACATATTTTAGCACATTACGCAAGAGCAGTTGTTGTTGTTGTTGCTGCTGCTGTCGCCGTTGCTTCTGCGCACGCGCATCGCTGACCAAGACTTCGGCAGCAACTGTTGCTGTTGTGGTCGCTGCTGCTGCCGCGGTTGTTGCCGCCAGTTGGACACCAAAAATTATTAACTAAAAAACACAAAAATTGCTGCAAAGATTGCTGCGAAATTGACATTTGGTCGTTAATGTGGCCGGGCCAAAAGTGTCTGTCCAGTTGGTCCGTCTTGGCCATGTGTCTGTTGGCTGGCCATTGGCCCGTTCAGCCTCGATTGCTTTGTTGCCGCCGTTGCCGTTGCATGCAACTGCCAATAATTCAGAGCTTTTAATAAAAATGTTGCTGCCGCTGCTGCTGTTGCTGTTTCTGGTGCTGTTGCTGCAACAGCAGAAACATTGGCGGCGGCATTCATGCGGCGACTGTACAAGATTTATATCATAATTTATTTATTAATTTCATTAAGTAAATTTTATTTGATGAATGACGTTGTCCGCATTCGCTTTTTTTTTTTTTTTTTTATTCGTGCTAAGCAGTTGCCGTTGGCGGCTGCCGAAATTTTGATTATTGTTGCTGCAACAGCAACAAACGAGCCAATAAATAATACCGAAAATTACATTTTACAGCAGACAGAGTGTTTAATGGGCCTTTGCCAAGTGAGGAGCCTGTCGGGGTTTCAATCGGGAAGTCGTTGAGTCTAAAGTTGGGTGGCTAGGACTGAGTAATCTCTCGGCATGTAGAGATATCGAGGAAAGATTTTAGTTTTTATTAGCATAACTAAAATTGCATTTAGTTTAGTATGAGTATGTGCATGTTTTCAAAAGCTTTTTAAATTCATTGAAGCTTTTTATATCTAAGACTAAAATGAAATAAGAAATAATTTATTTATAAATAAATTTCGTCATATTCAGACTTCATCTGATTCACATCAAATACTGAGATGTAATAGACGATATAATTTAAATTTATGAAGCGATTTATTTTTTAAAATTTTTATTTATTTATGTATTTTTTTTTTTTACAAATTCTTTGTTACTATTTAATTTTTTCAACACTTTTTTTTCTACTTATTAAAAATATTTTAAGAATACCTTGAATCATATTTAAACAAAAAATCTATTTTACTTCTCTACACTTGAAATTCTATTTGATATTCCTCACTTTTCATTTAACTCTTAAAGCTTTAAATAAAGCCAGACTATATTTAAAATTTTTAAAGCTTGACTCAACACTTCAATTCAATTTTATTTCAATCTTCGTTTAAGCATTACGTAATGCACTGCGCACTATTAAAGAACAATAAACATAAAAATTAATAATAGTTTGAGTAACAATTTTTTTTTTGAAATTTTCGCTGTGAGTCTGATTAAAAATGCATTGAAATTTATTCGCAATAATAAAACTAAAATGCAGTCGTTTATAAATTTGTTGGCCAAATAAACGACTAAAAATAATCGAACAGTTTAATGTTAAAATGCTTTAAGTTTTGCGCCATTGCTGCCACAACTGCAGCAACAACAACAGCAACGGCCACAGCAACAGCACAACAACAACAATAATTACAACAAACAAAAATCAAATGCCCACAAAACTGACGACTAAAATCAATTGCGACGTTAAACTTTAAGACCCCATCAGGCGACTGTAGATGGGAGGGAGGGAGGGGAGACGGTGTGCAGGGCGGGGGCTTTGTTTTGTCTCGTCTAGCTACCAAAATTGAAGGCTTTTCAGCTGGCCGGGCTAAAAGCAATAACAACAACAACAACAACAAAGTTGCAACGTTTGGAGCGTTGCCAAATTCAATGGATTTTACTTTTCGCTTTTCAAAAACTCAACGCTTGCTGCTGTCGTGACCAATTAGTGAGCCGACCCATTGGACGCGGGTGCAGACACAGCAGCTGGAGCGGCAAAAGCGCAGAGAGGGCGCAGGAGAGTTTGCTTGGTTACCTGGTCGGTCGCACAGGCGCACGTCAGCCAGCCAGCCCAGGCACTTGCCAAAAGGAATAGAGACAGCAGCAGCCCAGTCGCAGTCTGCGCACTTTACATTCAAAAATATTTTGTGACACAAAACGTTTGTTGTTGCAGTTGCAGTTGTTTGTTGTTGTTGTTGTTGATGTTGCTGTCATGGTTGGTAGTGAATTTAAGCTGAGCATTTGCTTATGTTTCTGTGCCTGCGTCAAATTTGTGGGGCGTGTGCGAGTCAAGTTCCATAATACCCTACCAGAAGGCATACTAGATGGCTTTTAGCTTCACACGAAATCAAACTAAGTCTTATCAATGTAAATCATCATAATAAAACTTAATTTATTAAATACATTTAATGAACACATTTACATTATCTAGCACTTATACTTAGTTATATCTCAGATAGAGAATGAAAGTATGTCGACATCAGCTGGCTCTTAGTTGCTTAGCTGCAGTTGAGTTTTGGATAATAGACACCAAAGCAAAGCAAGAATCCTTATTACCATTGTCTAGGAGGAGCAACAGCGTGAGTAGAAAGTGAAAGATAGTCGACAGAGATGGAGGGGAATATCAGCATGTGGATCAGGAGAAGGAGTAGAGTATGCGCAACTGCAGGTGCTGAAAATAGACTTCACGTTCGAGGCGAATCACGTAAAAGAGACGAGGATATTGAAGGATCAAAATAAGTATTAGATACATTAGTAAGAGTTCAACTCATAGCTGCACCAAATATGTAAAAATAGCAACAGCAGGAGCAGCAGGAGCAAATATAATTGATATAGAAGAAGAATCAGGCGGTTCAGTTAAAAATATTTATAGACACAGGAGACAGTGATTGCAGCAGCAATTACAACTACCACATTAAAGACACTTTAAGCAACAAATAAAGGCCGTTGAAATTTAATATTTTAATATTGATTATTTTCATTTTTTATTATTTTTGCATTAGAACTCAGTAATAAATAAGCATTAGCCGCTTTCAACTGGGTTGTTAGAATATAACATTTCTTTAAAGTCATTTTTATTCTTTTTAGAAGCTTATTGCATAAAAAGCTGAAAGCAAATTAATATATATCTTAATGAGTTCTTCTGATTTGCAGCCGTGTTGATAAGGCTTTACTTACTTTTATAAACAACTCATAAGTTCTTATCATGACGTATTGCACCTGCCAAAAAATTTTGCTATTTAAGGTCCACGATTTCGTAGCATTCTCAGTAAAACTTTTAGATTTCACCATGGAAAGTCTTCATCATAGATGGCAGTTGCTCCTTGTGGCGGTACTTTTCTGTCTGTGTAATGTGGAATCTAAACACAGCCAAGTGGAACGCATTATCAATGGTGAAAATGCAAGACCCAAACAATTTCCTTATCAAGTCTTTTATGATATTGAAATAAATAAACACTGGATAACGATGTGTGGTGGAACTATAATCGGTAAGAGGACGATTCTGACAGCCGCTCATTGCTTGGATGGGAGATTTGGCGATTTGTAGGTAAAAGCTGACTAAGTATAAGAATCGTTCTTTCTAACACTTTATATTTATTTGTAATCCCGAACAGCGAAAGGATAAAAATTTACTTTGGAGCCGTGGATAAAAGTAAAAGCACAGAAACTGGACAACAAATTGTGATCGTGGAAGCTGGCAGCTATGTGATTCATGAAGACTGGAATTTGGGCAAAATGAGCAACGACATTGCTTTAATTAAACTACCAACTGATCTGGAGTTCAACCAGTATATTCAACCAGCTAAATTGCCAAAACCCAATAGCCTTCATGTAGACAAAAATGCTATTGTCTCCGGTTGGGGCAGAGTTAAAGGTGTGTATTAAAATCAACAATAAATAATTTTCTAACATTTCAATAATTTCAGGTTTCGTAACAACTGAGCATTTGCAATATACGAAGGTGAAAACAATATCAAATGAAAAATGCAAGCGTATATTCAATTTTGATATGAAGTTTTTATCGCATTGGCTATGTGTCGCACCTAATGAGAAAAGGACATGTAAAGGAGACTCGGGTGGTCCATTAGCCGAAAGAAACCCTGATGGCTCTAGCACCGTGATTGGTATCGTATCGTTTAAAACAAGTCTATGCTCTGCTAAGGTCCCGACTATTTTTACTCGGGTTTCATATTTCTTAAACTGGATTGCTCAGCATACTAATGAGTCATAAAAAATATTTACAAATACCATATGTAATATATACAAAATAAAATTGAATATGAACATTTAAGGTGTGCGTTAATTGTTGTTTATTTCTAGTAATATTTAAAACCCTGTCTCGTAAACTATAAAATACACAATATACATATGGTAAAGCGATCCTCGCAGTCTTTATGAAAGTCATTCAATTTAGGTAGTATTAGATTCAGGTCAAAAACAGCCGAATTGCCTCCAGCTCGCAGTTTAATATTATATATCGTACACACTCAACACTAGAAGGAATGATAAGTATATTGAGATCTGAATCGGACAATGAGCCAGTTATTCCAAGCAATCCGAATAGTATGTTCGTCTGTATGCCTCGTCTTATTTTGTTCGTCCCGATAAAGTAAGGATTTGATGACGGTGTTTTCGGCTATAAAAATTTATCAATGAGAGTAAAGATATCTAATAAGTATTAGTCATGTAATTAGTTAACAGTTTGCCATTTCTTGCTAGCTTTATAGTCATTTATATTAATTGCTTTAAATTAAAATATATCCACTTGTTACATTAGCAACATGGTTGCAAAGCAATTATTTATTATTACAAATAACTCATAAGTTGCCTGTCATAAGTCTTATCATGATGCATTGCACCTGTCAAGAATTTTTGCTATATAAGTTCCACGACTTCGTAACTATCTCATTATAACTTTTACAATTCACCATGGAAAGTCTTCATCGTAGATGGCAGTTGCTCCTCGTGGCGATAGTTTTCTGTCTGTGTAATGTGGAATCTAAGCCCAGCCAAGTGGAACGCATTATCAATGGTCAAAATGCAAGACCCAAACAATTTCCTTATCAAGTCGGTTATGATGTTGAAATAAATAAACAATGGATAACGATGTGTGGTGGAACTATAATCGGTAAGAGGACGATTCTTACAGCCGCTCATTGCTTGGATGGCACGTAGGTAAAAGTTGACAAAATAAAAGAATCGATATTTCTAACAAATTACATTTATTCGTGATCCGAAAAAAGCGAAAGGATAAAAATTTACCTTGGAGCCGTGGATAAAAGTAATAGCACAGAAACTGGACAACAAATTGTGATTGTGGAAGCTGGCAGTTATGTGATTCACGAAGAGTGGGATCTGTGTGAAGTTGTCAATGATATTGCTTTAATTAAACTACCAACTGATCTGGAGTTCAACCAGTATATTCAACCAGCTAAATTGCCAGAACCCAATAGCCTTCATGCAGACACAAATGCTATTGTCTCCGGTTGGGGCAAAGTAAATGGTTTGTATTAAAGACTACAAAAAAAAAAAAAAAGTATTACTTCACTTGAATTTAAAATCATTTTAATCTTTTTAGGTGGTTTTTTTCCTTCGCATTTGCAATATATGAACGTTTTAACTTTATCAAATAAGGATTGTGAGTCCTTAAAAGATTCAAATAAAAAGTTTTATTCACATTGGCTATGCACCGTATCTAATGTGAGTGGTGCATGTTTTGGAGACTCTGGTAGTCCATTAGCAGAAAGAAACCCTGATGGCTCTAGCACTGTGATTGGTATCGCATCGTTTGTATCATCAACTAGCTGCCCTGTTAATTCCCTGAATTTCTTTACTCGAGTTTCATATTTCCTCACCTGGATTGCCCAAAATACTAATGAGTGATAAAAAAACTTGACAATATTGAATGTCTGATAAAATTGTATACAAAATAAAAGTGAGCATAACCGTGAATTAATCTTAGTTTTAGTTTAGTTTTTTATACCCTGAATGTCATGTAAATCATTTCGCTTTCTATTCCAGTCCTCATTTTTTCGCTTCTTATCAAAGCCATTCAGTTTTGATAGAGTTAAGGTGAGAAACAGTCAAATTAAGAATGTGAATAACTAATGAGTATTAATAATATAATTAGTTAACAGTTTGCAGCTATGTGGCAATTGGAAATCGATATTGTTTGCCTAACCCTGACTTTGTGTTGCTCGTGGCTTGCAGACGTCATTTCGTTTGGGGTTAACTCAAATTGCTAATACCTGACATGGGAATGTTTTTAACACCTTGAAAAACATGGCGACAATGTAGCCAGAGCAGCAGCAGCAGCAGCAGCAGCAACATCAGCATCAGCCTACAAATGGCAACAGCTACAAGCGGCAATGACTTGGCCAAAAAAATATATGCATACACAATCATTGGCAGCACAAATGCAGATGTTGCTGCTGCAGCCCCATCCTCATGCATTTATGCAGCTTGTCGTCGATCTGTGTTGTCCTGCCCTGCCCTGCTCTACCCTGGCGGTTGCCTCTCCTCTGCCACTCGCTCGTTACCCCAAAATGTAATGCGCATATATTTACTCGCCAAGTGTTCGATGACTGTGTGATCGACGTGACTGGCTTGGGTACTGAGGTGTCGGCTAGCGGGTATATTCTTGGCCTTCAGCTGGCAAAAATCAACGCCGACTCCAAATAGCAACCAGCAGGTGTTGCTGCGCTAACAAAAGAGAGAAAAGAGTCAAAGAGCCCAAATTGATTTGTCAATCGTCAGAAATACCGCAAAGTTGCGCACAGCATTTCGCTGGCATTTGAAAGCCATTTGAATACATTTCCCTCGCTATTGCTGTCACTGTCGCTGCCTCTGCCCCTGTCCCTGTCCCTGTCCCTGCCCCTGTTCTTTACCCTGGGCACACATATCGCATCCAGCTCTCGATATATTTTGAGAAAGTATGGCGCATTACATTTTAGTAGACGCTGACGGCAAATGCTGCTGGTTGCTGGTTGCCAGCTGCGAGTTGTCGTTGCCGTTGCCGTTGCTGTTGTCGTTGTCGTTGTCCCTTCGCCAATTTGTTGCTGACACTGCTGACGACTTGGCCTGTAGCCCGACTGGCAGCAGCTGTGGAGCTGAGGCCGGCGACGGGGCTAGAGGCTTGGCCAGGTCTAAACGGGACGGGAGCAGCCAGCGCTTGGCAATGAAGCGCATAAAAACTAATTGATTGGATGCCAAGATGTTAAGCGCATAACGGCAGCAGCAGTTGCACCACAACCAGCAACAGTTGCCGTTGCCGTTGCCGTTGCCGCTGTGCCACGTTTGAGGCGTTGTCAGTGGGTCTCCTGGTCCCGAGCTTGGCTTTTCAGCAACTTTTATTCAATTTAAATGCGCTTGCAGCACCAATGTGTGTGGATAGACCCGCCCAGCACTCGGATTGCCTCGCCGTTGCCTCATCGCCTCCCCTGTGCAGCAGCAACTGTTGCAGCAGTCGCTGCACTGCTCGCTTAAATTAATTATTTTTTATTAACTTTTCGCTTATTGATGACATTTTTCAAATTTTCTGCATTCCCACAATGCTTCCCGCCAACGTCAATGGCAAATTTGTCGCATGCGATTTTTATGCGGATCGTTCGGCATTTTTCTTAGCAGCTGTATATAAAATTTGATGGCAAGTTAATAAAATGATATAGCCTTTGGCTTTATTATTCTGATTCTCCATAACTCTTCATAACATTTCAAAATAAGCTCAACTAACTATTAAATATTTGAATGCATGCTCTAAACTATATTGCAGTTCAGATAAAATAAAACATATCACACAGAATATATAATATAAAACATACAGCAGGGGGCAATTGACTTTCAGACAAGATGGATGTCTCTCGCCTAGTCCTACTGTCAGAAAAGGATTAAGAATAAACATTGGTCTGCCATATGCTATGATTTTTCAGAAGTGTTAAATATTGCACAAAATAAAAGCAATTGACATTAAATGTTAATGTTCATATTTTGTATATATTATATATTCATGATTTTTGTTAAGTTATTTTATGGCTCATTACTATGTTGAGCGATCCAGGTTAGAAAATATGAAACACGAGTAAAAAATCTCAGGGTATTAATAGGGCAACCCTCTACTCCAAACGATACGATACCAATCACAGTGCTAGAGCCATCAGAGTTTTTTTCTACCAGTGGACCACCAGAGTCTCCAGAACACGTAACACTCTTACTTGGTGCGACGCATAGCCAATGTGAATAAAACTTTTTGTTTGAATCTTTTAAGGACTCACATAGCTTATTGGATATAGTTTTTACGCTCGCATACTGCAAATGCTGAGTAGATGTATGACCTGAATATATTAAAAACATACTGCACTGTATAGTCAATGATTGCATATGTCAATACAAACCATTTACTAGACCCCAACCGGACACAATAGCATTTGTGTCTGCATGAAGGCTCTTGGGTTCTGGCAATTTAGCTGGTTGAATATACTGGTTGAACTCCAGATCAGTTGGTAGTTTGATTAAAGCAATATCATTGATAATTTCACACAGATCCCACTCTTCATGAATCACATAACTGCCAGCTTCCACGATCACAATTTGTTGTCCAGTTTCTGTGCTATTACTTTTATCCACGGCTCCAAGGTAAATTTTTATTCTTTGGCTTTTTTAGCATTATACAAAAATGTAAAGTGTTAGAAAGGTCGATTCTTTAACTTAATCAGCATTTACCCACATTTCGCCACGCGTCCCATCCAAGCAATGAGCTGCTGTAAGAATCGTCCTCTTACCGATTATAGTTCCACCACACATCGTTATCCAGTGTTTATTTATTTCAATATCATAAATGACTTGATAAGGAAATTGTTTGGGTCTTGCATTTTGACCATTGATAATGCGTTCCACTTGGCTGGGCTTAGATTCTACATGACACAGACAGAAAACTATCGCCACAAGAAGCAACTGCCATCTACGATGAAGACTTTCCATGGTGAATTGTAAAAGTTATAATGAGATGGTTACGAAGTCGTGGAACTTAAATAGCAAAAATTCTTGACAGGTGCAATGCATCATGATAAGACTTATGACAGGCAACTTTTGAGTTATTTGTAATAATAAATAATTGCTTTGCGACCATGTTGCTAATGTAATGTAAGTGGATATATTTTAATCTAAAGCAATATAATATAAACGACTTTAAGGAAACAATGTCCTAGCAAGGCATTTCAATCTGCTAACTAATTACATGATTAGATAGTCTTACTCTAAATTATTTTCATAGCCGGACCCAGCGCTATCGAAACCTTACATTATTGGGTAGAACAAAATAAGATGAGGCATACAGGCGAACATTCTATTCAAATTACTTCTAATAACTTGCTATATCTTTAGTCTAGTTATCCAATTCAGATCTCATTGAATATATTTATCATTCGTTCTAGTATTGAGTGGGTACGATATATATTACTGAACTGAAGGCAATCCGGATGTTTCTGACCTGAACCTAAAGCAACCTAAATTGAATGACTTTCATAAGGACTGCGAGGATGAATCGCTTTATGATTTGTATATTTTGTATATTACAGTTTACATGATAGGGTTTTAAACATTACTAGAAATAAACAACATTTGACGCACACCTTAAATGTTCATATTCAATTTTATTTCATTTCGTATATAATATTATATAATATTAATGATTGTAAAGATTTCTTATGACTCATTAGTATGCTGAGCGATCCAGTTTACGAAATATGAAACCCGAGTATAAAAATTAGTACGATCAGGATTGCAGTTTTGTTCTACATTCACGATACCAATCACAGTGCTAGAACCATCAGGGTTCCTGTCTATCAGTGGACTACCACGGAGATCATGGCACGGAATATTCTCATTAGCCTCGCTGCATAGCCAATGTGAATAGAACTTTTTAGCTCTTTTTATTAAGCACTGGCATTGCTCATTTGATAAAGTTTTTACGTTCATATGCCAAAGATACGTATTACCTGAAGATATTAGAAAGTTATACTGCACTATAGAATTATTAATTGTTGTGTTCGGTACAAACCATTATATGGGCTCCAACCGGAGGCAACTGCATTTTTGTTAACATAAAGGTTATCGGGCTTTGGCAGTTTAGCTGGTTGAAAATGCTGGTTGAATTCCAGTTTGTGTGGTAGTTTAATTAAAGCAATGTTATGTTTTATATTACATTGATAGCTTTCATGAACCACATAGCTGTCAGTTCCAAGGACGATAACATGACTAAAGTGAATTCTGATCCTTTCGCTTTTCGGGATCAGAAAGAAATATAAAGTGTTAGAATTGTTGATTTGAATTCACCAGTATTTACCTACATTTTGCCAAAATTTATATCAAAGCATTGAGCTGCTGTAAGAATAGTTCTTTCACCGATTATAGTTCCAACGCATCGTAAAAGCAAATGATTATTTGTTTCAAGATCATAAATGACTTCATGAGGCAATCTTTGCTGCTTTGCGTTTTCTCCACTGAAAATACGTTCTAGTTGGGCGGCTTTAGACTCCGCATGACACAGATAGAAAAGTACCGCCACGAGGAGCAACTGCCATCTATGGATAAGACTTCCCATGGTGAAGTTGAAAAGTTTTAATGAGGAGTCAAAAAAGTCGCCCAACTTATATAGCAAAAATGCTTGACAGACCCAATACATCATGATAAGAGGTACGAGGGACAACCTATGAGTTATTTGCAATGAAAATTAATAGTAACTTTGCAACAATGTTGCACTAAAACGAAGTCAATTACTTTGAAAAAAGTTCTGAAGAAATGTACTAATATTAATTGGCATATAGGAATTGGAATAACTAATGTTATTGTAACGTTGTTTCTTACCTGGCCCTATAGAATGCCAACTTTTATCAGTCGCGCGAAATCCCACTTTGCTGCACACGCAAAGAGTTAAATGGATAAACGACGCCAACAACAACTACAATGGCAGCACTTGCGCATTTATCAAAAGTTATTGCAAATTAATTGCAATCTGCGTGGCGCAATCAACGGCTCAAATCTCGAGGCGATCCCGAGACCCCGTGGCATTTTCGGCTGCAGTCGCTGTTGCTGTTGCTGTTGCTGTTGCTGCTTACCAAAATTTATTGATGCCTTATTAGCTGATAATCACAATCACATATAGCATGATGCAGGCTGAAAGAGTGAGAGACAGAGCGAGTGAGAGTAAGACAGAGAGAGGTGCGTCAGGGAACGGTGAAAAGGTTTTCAACTGGCCCTGGCATATTAAAGTGCATTAAGATAATTGAAATGGCCAATATAAAAATGTTTTCCCTTTTCGATGCCCTTTCGTGGAGCATTATAGCCAAGTCGACAAACATGTAACACCATGACACGATGTAGACACGGTAGACAGTGTGTTGTGTTTCTATATATGTTGGGGTATAGGGCATAGAATGGTCGGTGTGCCAAAGGGCGTAGTTCCTTTTGGGCTTTTCGGTGTCAAAAACTTGTTTGAAGTGTTGAGTCTCGCGCTTCGGGCCATTTCGGTTGCAGCTCTGCCAGTCAGACTCCACTCAGAGAAATGTTGCATCAATGGAGCTGTTTTCAGCTTTTGATGTTCTTGTTGTTGTTGCTGTTGTTGTTATTTCTCTTTGGCGTATTTCCTGGAATCTGTTGAGGCTGAGGCTCTGCTGAAACGATTTTTCAATTTTCATATTTCTCATGTCTGAAGTTTTGATTTAGTGATTATGTTCTGGCACACACACACACACACACACACATTATGTATATGAGTTATTAAACGACTTTCTTTCGATAAGCCACAAAGGCCTGGCATTTAGGCTTAAGTGTTTGCTCAAGACGCTTTAAGGCGTTGCTCAGTTAACTGAGAATACGAAAGATCCATAAGCAGGACATCTGATTATATTTATTGTGTATGGTATGTGGCTCATTGCGAGTGTGTGTGTGTGTGAGCTTTCTTATGCATAAGCCAGGTAACATTTGAATGGGTGGGGCCAGCTCTTCATATTGTCTGTCCGTTTATGACTTGGTAATTGTTTTCTTTTTGTCTAGCTACTTGGAGTTTGGCGCAATTGACGCGACTCATAAATCAGTGGAAGGGCTGCAAGGCACAGATGCTGACAGCGCTGGCACCAGGAAGTAAAACGCTTTTCCAAGAATTTTTGAGGCGTAGCAACTGTTTGTGACATGTTTTGATTTGTGTCGCCAATGTTTATGAGCTTGTAAGCCACAGAGTCGAAACCATTTCGACCACTGCAAATGCAGATATGTCGTCGTTGGCCGCTCTCCGCTAACGGCCAGCCAAACAGCCAAACAGCCAGCCAGCCAGCCAGCCAGAGAGTCAGCTAGCCATTCATTCAGCCATTCAGCCATGTTGTTATCGATGACATTAATAGCGATTGGAGACTTTCATCAATTACACGGCTTTTGTCCCGACCGCATGGAACATGCTGGCCAGAGCTCGGCCTACGCATCGCAGCCAACTCGAGCGGGGCTCAATTGTAAATTATGACAATGCAAATTTGATTTGAAAGCCATGGCATATTGTGGTCTATGATGTAAGCGGCTGATAAAGTCCAAATGCAGGGCGAAACGCCCTGATCAAAGTCATGGCCAAGAGCAGCAGTAACAACAAACGTTTAAGTACGGGTAATTTGGCGAATACCGTTTTGGTTACTCGGATCTCGGATCTTGGATCTTGCCTTTGCCATTTGCCTTGACCACCAGCAACGACGCGTCGCCGGCAATCAAGCCAGCTCTGGCTTCAACTGCGGCTACAGCTGCAGCATAGAGCTCGAGTTGAACTGTATTAACTTTTGTCTGTCTGGGACTGTGACAGTGAGTCGAAGTTGGTACTTGGTACTTGGTACTCGGTGCTCGGTGCTCGGTTGGTGGTGTCCCAAGAGCGCCAACTGTTGCCGCGGCTGCTGTCAGTTGAATCTTCCTGTTTGCACAAACGTCACGTTCGAGTCACGTTTCCAACTGGGGACCCCTCATCAATGGCCGGCACTTAGTTTCAGTTGATGTTTCCCACAAATTTCAGGCCAACGGACTCCCCACGGACGACGGACGACGGACGATGGGCGATGGGCAATGGGCAATGGGCAACGGTCTCTGGGCGCTGGCGTAACGCAACAATTTCGCAATCACCTGACAATGTGACAGGTAATAGTCGTGTCCACGACACGGCACCTAGACAACATTGCATTTGCATACACATAGGTTTCAGCCGCACTGTGAAGTAATTTCAATGCCACTGCCACTCTGCCAGATACTCCTGCCCCTGAGTGTGCCCCGGCTGGGCTGCATACTGTGATAAGTAATTGCATTGCGTTCCACACGAGTCTCTCGCACACACAATTTGGGGCAGGTCAACGCTATCGCAGAGCTTCATTCATGATTCGGGGTTGGAGTTGGAGTTGGAGTCGGTGTTGGAGTTGGAGTTGAAGTCGAAATTGTTGTCCGATCTGTGACCACATAAATTGCCGAGATATTTCGTGGCATTGAATGTTTCTTGTTATTAGAAGTGGCCCATGAGAGGCAATTTGTTGGAGCCGTTAGAGTATGCATATATGTAAATAGGTGTGCAATAAACTAGGCTCACAGCTGAGCTATTGATAGCACGAAGAGACGGAGTTCCTGATATGCTAATCAACAAATAATTTCTATAGAGGCAGACGCTTGCAATCTCTGGCGATGTTGATGCGGGAGAGCTGCCCACACTTTCGACAAGTATGCGGCAATAGGTTTTCTCCTTCAGCCTTTCATCTTTCTTCCGGATCTGCAATGTCAAGTGCTTGGATGAAGCAGAGAGGCCAAGCCCTCATTCTTCGCCAGCTTCGCTCAGCTCAACTGTTGCCTCTTTGGCTTTGTCTTTAACTGTTCGCTGATCAGTTGGCCGATTAGGCTTATGGCTCATAAGGCCGCATTTGCGGAATGGACCTGTTGATGGGGAGCGGGATTTAAATAAATTACAAGCGCATTTTGTTGCACAAATGTTGTGGGCTAATTGTATGCAGGAGTCGGCCGGCTACAATTCTCTCCAATCCCCGTTGATGTGGATGCGAATGTGAATGTGACTGTGAATGTGACTGTGAATGTGAATGGAGTGTGATTTGGGTTGGGTAGGCGAACGAGTGCGCTTTGTGTATCCAGTTTTGGCATCATAGAAGGTAGATAGACAGAAAGAGAGAGGGAGAGAGGAGTAGACTTAAAGCAGGCGGACAAACGACATTTGCAATTCGCAATGGAAAGACGCTTGTAAGACGCTTTCGCCAATCTTTTAATAAGAATCAAACACTAGACGAAAAATTTAAAACCATTTCGTATATGAGCAGCATGCACTTATCGCTGATCGTACCGGTAGGTAGTGTGTGGTGTGTAGTGGGTACTACAGTAGATTTCGCAGCCACGGCCTGGTGGGCAGACACATTCACATAGTGAGTGAGATGGAGAGAGAGAGAGAGAGAGAAAGGAAGAGAGGGAAGTGCTCATTACAGGCTTAGGCTGATCTGGCCAGCTCATCGGTCCTGGGCACTGGGCGCATGCCAATCATGTTTGGGTCCACTCTACTTAGTCTACTGTCCCGACTGCGTCTGCGTTCTCAGCTCACTTCAGCTCAGCTCAGCTGTCCGCCCAGCTGTCCGGCCGCAACAGAAGTTCTTGTCGCTTGTTCCTGTTGCTTGTTGTGCGCTTGCTCGTTGAATATTTCAAATTGCAATCAGTTGGCAGGCATCTGAGGCCCCAACCACTTGCACCAGCTACCGGATCATTGATCTTGGCTCCGCAGCAGCCCCTCAGCAGCAGCAGCAGCAGCAGCAGCAGCGGCAGCAGCAGCAGAAGTCGGCATTTGGACGCTTCTCATTCGACTCTGGTGGACGTTCGCGTTCCGCGGGTGTTGGTTGCATTAGTTTCGTTGCGTTTAATTTATTAAAATATCAAATTCGGTACATGGCCAGCAGCTTGTTGCTCGTAGCCGATCTCCACTGTGGTAGCCAATTTATCGAGGCCAGCGCGATAAGCCCCACTGCAATCGGACACTCAAGCATTCGAAAGAGATGGCACTGCATTAAGCGTGCTCGAACAGTCTATCAATTCGGTACATCTATATCGATTTATTCAATTAGGAAACGTATTTGTTGCATTCTCCGGTTAATTCTCGCTCATTGTCTGTGTCGAGGTCATATAATTGACAAATTAAGTGCACTTATAAAAAGTGAATTTCATAATTAGGAGCTATGTTGCTGAGCGGCTGCAGCTGCCACAGCGGCAACAGTTGCTAATTTATGCCAATGCAAAAGGGCAGCAGATCGGAAGGAAGACCAGAGGACATGGACATTATATGGCTATGTGGACAGTAGCTGGTGGCCAACAGCAACAGCAACAGCAGCAGCAGCAGCAGTTGCCCGGCTGGCGGCCACTTATGAAAATTGGATTTTTACACTCCATTCTTGATGGAATGTTTATTGAGCTGTCATGTTGCTCAGTTGTTGCTGTTGTTCGACTCGACTCGGCAACAGGCTCAATAATTTAAATATCAAAATTGTTAGCAATTTGCACGCCCAGCGGTGCGTTGGCCGCCAGCAACAGCAACAGCAACAGCAACGGCAACGGCAACAATTGCTAATCAAATTAAGCAATTATCTTGTTACGAGCACAGACGAGCAACATGGCAGCACATCAAGTGGGCCGATTGGCTAGCCCTTGCCTCCTAACCGCCGCCTGAAGTGCATTTCATCATTGCCAATCAAAGGGTATTCGTTTCTCTCTCTCTCACTCTCTGTCTCTCTCTCTCTCTCTCTCTATAAAGGTATATATATATATAAATAGCTCTCACACCTTGTGCACTGGCTGCGCCAATAGGCGTATTCCATGAGAAAGCAACAACAAATGCAAAGTGCCCATTGTGCGAAGGCATAAAGCCCGCAGAGTTTATAAAGTCATAATAATGCCAGGGAAAATACGCTTAAAATGCAATTTATCGCCACCAACAACAATAACAGCAACAGCAACAGCAAGAGCAGCGGCTGCAGCCGCAACAATCCTGCGAAAAATTGATGACGGCGACAGCAGCAACAACAACAACAACAACAACCTGCCGGCTGTCCGACGAACTGACAGGCATCAGCGTCAGTCATTTTAGCCAACTGGACCTGGGTCTGTGCCTCGGCTCGGACGTGGACATGGACATGGAGTCGGCCTGGCCTGCCCCGGCCTGGCCTTCCTGCGGCGTTTTCGCTTGACGCCCGCCCGAATGTTGCTGTTGTAGCTGTTGCTGGCAATGGCAATGGAAAAAAATTAAGACATTTTATAAATTGCGCGTTGTTGCCGCCGCCTCTCAAGCTGGAAGACAACCCTTAATGTGTTGCCCGCACTGTACCGCATTGCGATTCGTTATGGCAACTGACCGAAACATTGGCCCATCAACAACGGCAACAAGCCTTGATATTGTCCTACTCATCAGCAACAGCAACGGCAACTGCAACAGCAACAGTGCCTGCAACATCATTATCATCATCAGCTGTATGCGGCTGAGCTGCTTCTATGCTGTGCTGGCTGCCACATCTTTAAGTTGCTGTTGCAACATTTGAATGTTGCCAGCGATGCGTCAAATATATGTTGCCGGCGTTTGCAGTTGTTGCAGGCACACCCACTTTTGATGCTCGCACACGAAGGCTAAGAGAGTATATAAAGCTTGCACGACTGGCGAAGCTACAAATTTCTAGACTATATTATATATATGACTCTCAGACATGACTCTCTCATTATTAGAGCTAGATGAGATGATTGACCTACAAACCATTTGGGCTGTTCACTTATGTCATATCAAAGCTGATCAGTTTCCTTATTGGCATGCATTATGCAGTCGTTTACACCCGACTGCAGTTCTGTTACTTGTTTGGTTATTCGTTATTGTTGTTGTTATTGTTGCTCTGACCGCAAAACGTAATTGTGTTTACGATCATCTATTGAGATTTTCTTGCCTTGCCAGATGCAACAGGTCACGCCCCTGATACACGCCCGCCCATTGGCCTGTTATCGCTGCCTCTCTCCGTCTCTCTCTCTCTCTCTCTCTCTCTCTCGCTGCAACTCTCACTCAGTCTGTCTCTCTCCTGTTCGCTTACTTGTCTAACGCATGTCAATGAGCCTTGGCCAGATATTTTCTTTTGGCAACAGCTTTTCCCCATTCCTCAAGTTCGGGGCGCTGGGTGTGTTTGTTCCTCACTTATCTTTCGCTCATATTTATGTTAATGTGTCTGTGCGCCGAACATCAAAAGCAGCGGAACGCACAACCACTCAAAATGCTAACTAACGGTTTTTTGTTGATTTTTTTCTGCGCTTTGTTGTTGTTTCTGTTTTCTGCCAGTGATTCTGGTACGAGCCCAGCCAGCAGATCGGGCGAGCTCACAAGGAAAGTGTCTTATTGGAAAATTTATGTTTCCTTTGTTATTTTCGGCTATAATTAATGCATACGCACTCCTTGAACTGGGCCACGGGGCGTGGCAGGCAGCGCAGGCGTCGCTAAAAGTTAAGTACGCCCTTTGTTATGTTGCGTGGCAGCAGCGTTAACATAGGTGTTGCTGGCGGCAATTTAGCACAAACCGCAAAACCTCGAAGAGTTGCTACTCAGCTGCTCAGCTGTGTTCTAGATAAATTTAAATTATCTTGCTAAATGCAACTGCCACATGTTGCAGGCAGCAGCCATCTACAGTGGCGGCAATTAAAAGCATTAAACGTTGCTGACGCTGACTGATGTGCTCAAAGGATTGCAGGCGACATAAAGACAGCCAGCAATAAAACGTGGCAATCGGGTGCAAGCGACTGCATAATACCTGCTCGGGATTAAGTGCTTTGAGAACTGCAAACAGACGATGGATGCACTGTACAACTAATATACTCATTTAACTTCTTGAGCCAGCAAAAACAGACAAGTATTTCTTGCTGCTGTTGCTGCTGCCGTGTTGTTGTTGCTGGCTGCTGCCCAGCACTTTCAATCTCTTAGCCTCAGTCGCTGCCTACGTGCACTCACTGCTCAGACAGTTGCCTGCTGCCGCTGTTACCTTTCCACTGGTCAGCCCTCACTGTCGCCCTCGCCCTGGCCCTCACACCTCCTCCTTACCATTCCCCTCACCTACCGATTCCTTCAACATCTTGTGCTTGGCCGCAGCTTTGTCTACTGATTAATCACTTTGGCGCGTATAATAAATTAAAAATTTCAGCAATTTTGAAAGTCAATTAATCATTGGGAGGCTTCGCTGGCCGTTTTTGTTTGTTATTGTGTGCTCATGATGTGTTTGTTGCTGTTTGTTGTGGATGTTGCTACCTTTTTGCTGCCGTTGCTGCGGCTGCCGCGGTTGCCGGCCCATAGACAGCGACGGCAACTCAAAAATGTCAGGCCATGACTACGCGCCGCACATTTCAGATGATGATGAAGTAGCCGGGCCTCGACGGCGGTAGATCAAGACAAGGCGGCACTCGGTGGGTTCTACGATCGTCGGCCAACTAGCTGAATGGTTACGGGAGCAACAGCAACAGTTGCTGCTAGTGCTGCTGCAGCAGCCGTTAGAGGTGCGGCTGTTGGCTGGCACTTTCTTCCTGGCCACGGCGACATATTCCGCAGCATTGATAAATGAATGTGAGGGTCAGTTTCGTTTGGGCTGCTGCTTCAGTTGCTGTTGCCGCTTCATTTCGGCAGCAACAACTTTCGAGATATACGCGCATTTGTCAGATAAAGCTGCAACGCCTTTCCCATTGTCAGCCTGCCACCGAGTTGAGTTGAGAGCTTGTTGTTGCTGTTGTTGTTGTTGTTGCTGTTGTTGTTGTTGTTGTTATTGTGTTTGCTTTGGTCCCGTAAAATATGGTCCCGTATCGCGAGCAGCGAGTGTTGAAATTTAAGTTTTAATTTAAGCGATATGAAGGGCAACTCCCAGGTCCAACTCCAACTCCAACTCCAAGTCCAAGTCCAGTCCAATCCAGTCTGAATCGCGCACGAAATGAAGCCATTTTCATATTTATGAATTTGGCCCCTTATCGAAACGCTTCAATTGGCCATGGAGCGAAGCGGCAAATTAAATATGGGCAGCCATAAACGATACTGACAGCCCAGTCTGGCCAGCAGCAGCAGCAGCAACAGCAGCAGCAGCAACAGCATCAGCAGCAGCAGCAGCAACAGGCAGTCAGGCAGTCAGGCAGGAACTTGCAGAGTTGCGTTCGTCGTCTCCAGCTTAGCTGAGTTATTAAGGCATCTTTATGGCCAATCTCAATGAGGTGTGAAGTGCAATCGTTTCGGGCTTTTATTAATACACAAAACATATTTTATTTGTTTGTGCCCCGGCAGATCGCAAACGCACGCTGATCGATTGGAAGCGAAACGGCCGACTGTGGCCAATAAGATTTGGCATTCCATTCCCATATATATTTAAATTTCTTTCGAGTCGAAAATTGGAAAAGAGTTTCTGATTTGTCATTGTTGTTGTTGTTGCAGCTTTTTGGTGTGTCTTAGCCATGTCGGAGGCTATCTTATCTTGCACATCTTGCCTGCCATTGAGTGGGTCTTAGACTACATTTTGACCATATTTAATATTTGTGTTGCCAGCAGCTGTTGGCCCTTGCCGCTCTGACAGCTGAGGTCGTTCACTTGTCGTCTTAATTAAGTGCGTGCAACAACTCGCTGCCAGCAGCAGCAGCAGCAGTCACTGCAACAGCAACAACAACAAGAGATGTCTGCAAACGTGCTTTAAGGACATTTTGACTGGGGCAACGCGAGGCTGTCAATGAAATCCCATAAGCTGACAGTTGCTCGACGATCTTAAGTTCTTTTGTGGCCTGTTGTTGTTGCCGCTGCATTTGCATTTGCAATTAACTGAAATTGGTGCTGTCCTGCTGCTGCTGCTGCTGCTGCTGCCTTCAGCTGGCCTAATGATAAATGTTGTCATTTACTGTGGATGCATGTGTAATCAGCGTCATGTTGCTAACGGTTTATTGTTAACAAACAAATGGTTCAAGTGGCGTGACTTCCTGCCAATTTCTAAGCACAACATTTTGGCAGGCTCTATGCATCTCGATTTGTATGTGGCTGTTGCAGTTGCTGTTGCATTTAAATTTGAATTTGGGAATTTGAATCGCATTTCGGCTGTGCCAAGTGCCAAGGCAAACGAAAAGAGCGAAAAAAAAAAAAAAAAAAAAATAGAAAAATAGCTTAGCAGACGATCGCGAAATTCACGCCATAAGTAGAATGCGATTTTCGCGCGTTGTCGCAGCTAGCTGATTTCGCTGCTGCGGCAGCGGCTGTGGCTGCCCCTGCTGCTGCTGTTGTTGTTGTCGCGTGTTGCTGCGCTTGTTACGGTGCCCAAATATGAGCAACATCACGAGAATCGTGCTATTTGCTTTGCATATATTTTACAATCCTCAAATCCAAAACCCAATCCCAATTCCAAACAACATTCAGCAACAACATGAAACATCATTACCCAAAGGGGGCAACCTTTTCGGCTGGTGCGGAGGTGGGGGCGGTGCGACGTTGCGACCCACGACAAAGCAAAGAGCAACAGCAGGAGAACGTAATGAAGTTATTTGTCCTGGGGCCAAACGAAATCAACGCACATATCCTTTTTGGCAATTGCAACGCGCTGTCGCATAAATCATTTGCCACTCGCATGAAATTGGGCATAAATTTGCTCCACTTTGCCATGGAACAGCAGCGGCTGAGGCAGCGGCAGCGGCAGCGGCTGGAAGCAGCCGAAAAGTAAGTCGTTGGCTTAACGAATGCGCAGCTGCTCGAGTGTTGGAAGGCATCTGGTTGTTTGTGTGTGTATGTGTGTGTGTGCGCGCTCAAGAGGCGCTTCTTGATGAATGCCATTTAGAGATGAGCCCTGCTGCATGTGGCTCGGGATGAGTTCTCGGCTCAGGCTCTCTCTCACATAATCTTAATTGGATCTATAGCAAAATGTTGAACACTCACGCGCTCATCTCTAATCCCAGCCGCACCCACACGCCGCAGGCGCTGTCCAGCCAAACTCTCCGCTCGAAATTAGCTGCGAATTCGGTTATTAAAACCGCATACCACTCACTCTCTGCTGGCAACGGACCCAATTTGTGCGGCCGGACTTGGCCGGGAGGGGGTGGAGTAGGGGGCGCAAGGACCCAGTTACCAGCTTCGACCCAGACCCAGACCCAGACCCAGTTTCTATAGCTGTTCCCGTGGTACCTGCTGTGATAAATCAACGTGAGACTAATGCGCGCTTAACACGCGAATTATGATTTTGCAAATGATGTGAATGCGCCAGACAGAGAACCAAGCAGTTCGCGAAATGTTGCACGGACCACTGCCACAGCCACTGCCACTGCCAGAGCCACAGAGTCATAGCCATCGTAAGTTGATTGCTTTATAATCGCCTCAGTTTTGGCCTGGCCGACGCCTTGGCCAAAGCATCCAAGTGGCATTTAATTGCAGTTTAAAGAGTTTGCCATGCACAGGTGACCCCTTGAACTATCGGTAATTAGTTTTGGCCAAGACACACGACAAAATCAACAGCGAATCAACACATGACCGCCCGCTCCCCTTGCCATTTAACAGCTGACACAGAGACCCAGTGCTGTCGCTGCCTGTCCGCCCCGTACGCCCTGCGTCTGGCCATTTAACCCACTTATTATGACTGCCATTTATAACGACAGTTGCTAGGCACTCGGGCTAGCCAACAACAACAAACCAGAGGCGATGCATGCCACAGCCTGCCTGCCTGCTGTTGCCTGTGCGTTAAGTTCTCGCCATCATCCTTGTGACCAGGCAATTGCTGTTGCTGTCGCTGTGGTTGCTGTTGCTGCTGTTGCTGCTGTTGCTGCTGCTGCTGCTGCTGGTTGCTGTTGTGTGGGCGTCCTTTTGACCCGCCGCATGTCGTTTATGGCCAACGCTGCTGCTGCCTTTGCGGTGGCCATTTTGTGGCCGTCCTTGTTTGCCCACCGCCCAGCATTGTAGCCCTTTGTGCGGCCGTAGGTCGTCACACACAGTCACGGCCCGGCCACCTCCACGTATCGGCCGCTCTCCGATTACCCCTTTTGTCAGCGCGGCGTCTGACAATGGCACAGTTTTGCATGCAATTGACTCTCACAGCTCGTTGCTTTTTACAGTCCAAATGTACGTTAAGGATGAGCACATAGAAACAGCCATGAGGGCGGAGCATGTAGATGCTTAAGATTAAAGTAAAATCGACCTTATTAAATGGCAGAAAGAAATTCCTTAAATGTTACAGTAGTTGCCTTTGTATAAATAAACTTGATGTGAACTAATAAATATAGTCTTATTCCTTAAATTCCTTAAATGTTACAGTAGTTGCCTTTGTATAAATAAACTTGATGTAAAATAATATAAATATAGTCTTAAATATTTACTTTACTCACAGTTAAGTAAATCCTTCCATGGACTTGCACCTGTATGGCCATTTTCTGCATTCAGCGAATGTCTGAATTTGTACGCATTCGTAATTCATGTACATTAGTTTGGTTTGTGACTTATAAGCCGGCATTGAAGCTTGAAATAATGCCAATACAATTCGATATCATAAATATTTTATGCACCATACGTTTGCCCTTTTGTTGCTGCTTTAACTTTGCATACATTTTGTCAATTCGGGCGCGGGAATGGAACTCGAAACTCGCAACTCGAAAACAAGAGAGAGAGAGAGCGAAAAAAAAAGACGAATGCCTATTAGGCTGCATATTAAAAAAATATGTATACATGTATATATGTATATTTGCCGGCCAAATAAATAACAGAGCAACAATATACGAGCTGGCCAGGGGGCAGGCGGGGCCAAGCGGAGAACAAAAGCCAGCAACAATACAAAGAATTTTAGCCCTTTTTATGATTATGAATGCACGTCAGCATATTTATGTAAAAATTATGCAATTTGCTGCCGTTCTATGTGAGTGCGTGGACTAACTCAAGGGAAGGAGCCAACCAGCAAACCAACCAACCAACCAGCCAGCCAACCAGCCAGCCAGCTAACCAACCAGTCAACAGCAAAGAGACAAGATACAAGAGACCAGAGCCAAGAGCCACATCAGTTGAACTTAGCCAGTCAATCAAAAGTTGACGGGCTCGTCACAGTTGTCGCTGCTGTTGTGTTTGCAAAGGGACAACAAAAAACTATAAGAGAAGAGAGAGCAGAGACAGTTAGAGAGCGACAGAGATGGAGAGAGAGATGGAGAGGGAATGCATCTTTTGAGCAATTTGCAAACCAAAATGTGTATTAAAATTTATGACGAGCTCAAGTCGAAAATGGGCGATGGATTGAGAGATAGGAGCGGTTTGAGAAAATCCACTAATAAATATAGGCATAGGCATATGCGAGAGCATGCCATGGCTCACAAATACCCTGTAAATTGATGATAAATTCAGTATAGTAATATTAGATATATTCAAGTATTGGTAAAGAATACAGGTCTTGCACATGTTCTTCTAAAACAATATTATATTATGTAATATTGCTTAGTATATACTGACTTATAAAATAGGCTAACGTTACATTCGCTTGGTTCTTCTGAATGGAAAGTCTCACTGTTTCTCAACTTTTATTTTCTTAATTGTATTATTTTGCTTTGGCTTTTTGTAAAAACTAAGTTAAATTTAAATTGTTGGCTCTTGAGTAGAAACAGTTATGCATACAGTCCATTACTGTGCACTGTCCCTATATGGCATATCGATCATATATTCAGAGAATGTCAGAAATTAGCATTGCGAAACGGCGACAGGACAAGATTTCGATGCGATGAGACTGCAGATTGACTGCGTATCTCTTGTCGTTTGTATCGGTTTCTCCTCTTGTGGCTGGATCATTCGCTGTGATCCTCATCATCATCGCATTGTGGAATCATGTGGCAACTACACACACACGCAAACACATGTAGTTCGTATTGAAATTCACGTCTCTGTTAGCAATTGTTGTTGTCACTGGATTGGCATTGCAGCAATGATTGGCCTTAACTTTCACCAGCAGTTGTTGTTCGATGTGGTTGTTGTTGTTGTTGTTGCCGTCATTGTCGTGATGACTCCGCTGCCTTCGCCCTTCACCCTTTGCCCTACGTGGGCCACGTCAACATGGCCAGAAGCAAATTGTTAAATTATTTGTAAATTTCGATGTTTGTTGACTGTTTACAAGTTTTTTTTTTTTTTTTTTTTTTTTTTTTTTTTTAATTAGAAATAGAAAATAAGGCTAAAGTGTATGCATGTATGTCACATATATATATATATCTCGACTGGAGCTCTCATGCTCTATTAAAATTGTTGCAAAGGTACTATTATTTTTTACTGCAAATAACTCATAAGTTGCCTGTCGTCCCTCTTATCATGACGTATTGCACCTGCCAAAAAATTTTGCTATTTAAGGTCCACGATTTCGTAGTATTCTCAGTAGAACTTTTAGATTTCACCATGGAAAGTCTTCATCATAGATGGCAGTTGCTCCTTGTGGCGGTGCTTTTCTGTCTGTGTAATGTGGAATCTAAGCACAGCCAAGTGGAACGCATTATCAATGGTGAAAATGCAAAACCCAAACAATTTCCTTATCAAGTTTTTTATGATGTTGAAGTAAGAAAACAATGGAAACCGAACTGAGGTGGAACTATAATCGGTAAGAAGACGATTCTGACAGCAGCTCATTGCTTGGATGGCACGTAGGTAAAAGTTGACTAAATAAAAGAATCGATATTTCTAACAAATTACATTTATTCGTGATCCGAAAAAAGCGAAAGGATAAAAATTTACCTTGGAGCCGTGGATAAAAGTAATAGCACAGAAACTGGACAACAAATTGTGATCGTGGAAGCTGGCAGTTATGTGATTCATGAAGAGTATAATTTTATCAATATCGTCAACGATATAGCTTTAATTAAACTACCAAATGATCTGGAGTTCAACCAGTATATTCAACCAGCTAAATTGCCAGAACCCAATAGCCTTCATGTACACAAAAATGCTATTGTCTCCGGTTGGGGCAGAGTTAAAGGTGTGTATTAAAATCAACAATAAATAATTTTCTAACATTTCAATAATTTCAGGTTTCGTAACAACTGAGCATTTGCAATATACGAATGTGAAAACATTATCAAATGAGGAATGCAAGAGTATGATCCCTTCTGATAATAAGTTTTATTCACATTGGCTATGTGTTGCACCTAATGAGAAAAGGACGTGCAAAGGAGACTCTGGTGGTCCATTAGCCGAAAGAAACCCTGATGGCTCTAGCACCGTGATTGGTATCGTATCGTTTGGATTTGGCCCTTGCCTTTCAAACTTTCCCACTGTTTTTACTCGGGTTGCATACTTCCTAACCTGGATCGCTGAACACATCAACGAGCCCTAAATATTCTTTACGACAATCATGAATATTAAATAACAATATATACCAAATAAAATCTGCATGAACTTTAGTACCTCCTTTGTTCTTATTTCGATCAAATTCAACTCACACAATCTACACACTCCGTCTGCCAGGTGTGCGCACAAAAAGTGTGGCCTACTCTTAGGATGACATTCAACTGGTCTTTTCGAGGGCTTTCACTAGACACAAGCACACTTTTTGCTCATACATGCTGATGATGGCTCTCCTCTTTTGTTTATCCATATACATAATTCTGAATATTGGTTTTCTTGTGTTTTACCTGTATGCTCTTATATGCTAATTTATTGGCAATGCGGCCCAGTGAAATGTTAAAAATAGATCAATCCCATATGCTCCCATATGCACTGCCATAAGGATGCGCTGGTTGACTAGATCTGCTAAGGGCTTCAGCTCAATATGGTGCATAGCATATGGTATATGGTATATGGCTGGCCAATTGATTTTGCAGCTAGTTGCTGGGAAGTGGCTTAAGAGTGGCCAATTTTCACTAACAGCCTCGAGTGCTATCAGCAACAGCACTTAAGGGCTTTATCGGTCTGCCCAAAATGAACTGAAATTTCATTTTCGTATATCTTATCCCAATAGTGCAGAGCAAAGGGTCATATTGTGCTTTCGGCAGCCAGCTGCCAACTGCTGCTACTTTCGTAGTCGTTGTTGTTGCTCTTGTTGTTGTTGTTGTTGATAAAAAACCTTTAGTGCATGAGAAGCACATGAGAACTCAGCAGCCTGGCAGCCTGGCAGCTTGGCCTGGCCTGGCCATGTGTAGTGTGAGAGTGTGTTAAAATGTTATCGCGCTTTCTCAACGCTTGTGCAGCAAATATTCAACTAACAAGCGACGGCTAGAGCGATGCCTGACTGAACCAAAACAGACGACTTGACTGTTTGCTTGGCTGGTTTGGGCCAGGCCAAGTGCCGCCGCCTCAGCCTCCCTGATGCGCACTCGTAATTGGAGCAACACTCAGCTGGCAGCTGTAATTGTTTGGCTGTTGCATTTTCGCGCTCTCCCGCACGTCAGTTAACAAATTCCCAGTTGCTGCTGTTGTTGGTTCACTTGGCACGCTTTTGTGCCACGTATGTAAACATTGGTAATATTTGTTGGACACAAACTGTTCGCAGTTGACCTGCATTCGCCAGAGAGAAAAGCACTGATTGCAGTTAACCTTTGCCCAATCTTGCTTCCCCTTTCCCACTCTCGCTCTCACTCTTTTTCTCTCCGTGTCTCTCAATCTCTGCTGGAGTCCACACCTGTCGCTGTTTATTTTAATAACTCAATTTTATGGCCCTGGTTACAGGTTTTCTTTTTCTGTGCTGCGGTTATTTATTTATCTATGTGCAGATAGCTTTGGCCATGTCCTTTTACCGACTGGGCCATGATTAATGCCAGCCGGCGAGAGTTGCCTTACTCGTTTCACATTTAGCATTGCCAAAATATTTCATAATTCATTTCGAAGACAGACCTGGTCACAGGCATAAAACAGCTATAAATGCGCATACAAAGTTTTATTACCATTTCACAAGTTGGCCATACGTAAACCACTCTCTATGCCATTCCATTGGCCTAAGCACATACCCACAAACACACACATATACACACTCATACACATTTCGCCATTCTCATTCTCTCTCTCATTTGCCTATTAACGTTGCTCTGGTGCGCCATAAATCTAAAAGATAGATTTATGCAGCATCTTCATGTGTGTGTGTGTGTGTGTGCGTGTGTGTGTGTTCTATGTCCATATCTGTATCTGTAACCCACAATCAGTGCTTCAGTATGTGAGCTTGTACCAAATACCGCATTTATTTTGTACGTGTCGGTCTTAACATTCAATTTCCTGTACTACTTTTACTCAGTTTCCCGGCTGGCTGGCTGACTGGCTGGCACATGAGTCGGCCTTCCACAGGCAGGCTCCTCATTGCTGTACAAATGAAAAACGATGTCTGTTAAGGCATTTGGATTGCCTTCTGAAATATTATTATATATTATTATAAGAAATTGAATTATTATGAATTATTAATTGAATTATTATCGAAATTGTATAGGTTAAGTACTTGAAGCTGAACCACTGTACAGAAAAGTTGTTATTGTACGCGCTAGCACGGGAGTGTCGCTCTCCAAAAGATCGCTCTCTCGCTGCTCGCTGTTAGATGCGCATAGGTGCGCTCTCTACTGTGCAAGCTGCGCTTGCGTTCATGTTAAATTTAATAAATTCAGTACAAAATTGAACACCGGTGCCAGCACTTCGTATATTTCAGAGAGACCGCAAGTTGCTGTCTACTTTTTTTTATAAATATTATACACTGGCCATCGAAGGACCAGACTCCTTTTGGAAGGACATTTTTGGCGCCCCCGGGTGGACACTCTCTGGAATTGAAGGAAGCTGGATTATGGATTTTGTGGATAATCAGGGAAGTACATAAATACATAGAGCACATAGATGACCAAGTAATGCAAGCCATAAATAAATAAATGCATTACTTGAGACATACAAAATATTAATGTATGTACAATCTACGCCTATGTACATTGTGTTGAGCTTATTTCAAATTGAAATTTAAAAAAAATAAATAAAAATAATAATAAGGTGCATATTGACCTTTGATCTGCAAATAATTCAATCTCTATTGCCTCGCATAATCCAAGTTTTCTTTGGCGCCGCTAGTGTGTTACAGTTTTTTTGCTCATTTTCGTCTCGCACTTTCGTTTTGCGCTTGCGCTCACAGCTTGCACAGATAATTGCGCTCTTAATTTACGCTCTTCATTTGCATGCGCGCTTGCAATATCGTTTGCACTCGCGCTTGCACTTATAGTTGCGCTCTCGTTTTACTGTCTCGCTTGCACATATTAGTGCGCGCTCACTTTGCGCTCAGTGCATACTCACTTGCTATATCGTTTGCACTCGCGCTTACACAGCAAATTTCGCTTTAATTTACGCTCATCATTTGCATGCGCGCTTGCAATATCGTTTGCACTCGCGCTTGCACTTATAGTTGCGCTCTCGTTTTACTGTCTCGCTTGCACATATTAGTGCGCGCTCACTTTGCGCTCATTGCATACTCACTTGCAATATCGTTTGCACCCACGCTTGCACACGCAGCAGCGCTCTCGCTTTGCGCTCAAAACGTGCGCTCGTCACTTGGATATATTTTCGCTCAAAACTTGCACTCTCGCTTTGCGCTCATTGTATGAGCTCGATCTGCACTTATATTTTGGCATTCATACCGGCGCGCTCTCGCTTATGAATGCATTGCACTCAGTCGCTCAACAGTCAAATATAACTCAATAGACCACTTGCCCAAATAGTCACTCAACATTTTGGTTGTTGTCTTCGCTATATCGTAACAGTCACTCAAGTATAGTTTAACACTGCCAGCGTAATATATTGAGATTTATTACGATCGCGCGCATTTGTTAACATTCTTGAATTGCTCTTCGCTTGTTGTCATACATTAAGTGAACTTTTATTTGTTTCGATTGAAATTGGTTTCAACTGAGCATCACTTATAGCATCATGACTAACAAGCGAGGAAAGAATAGGTCTATGGACGAGTCATCATCAGAGCGTGTCGAAGCTCTGTTGGCCGTTTACAAAAATGTTACAAACGACATAACACGCATTAATAAATCATTAAAAGATTACACTAAACCAGTAGAGCCATTTGAAATTGAATGTCGACTTGAGATATTGAACCGCTACATAGAAAAGGCCTTTAAGACACAACAAGAGTTGGACGACATTAACGCAGATTTAGTGCCTCGGTCAACGTTAGAAGATTTGTGTGTATCGACAAAAGCACTTCTTATGAAGCGAGGTAGTGATAGCCAACCTAAAAGTGAGAGTCCCGCTAACTCTACAATGATTAGCTCAGTGTCACATTCTAGGAATCTACCGAATATAAAGCTGCCAAAGTTTAGCGGAGAATATTCGGAATATAAGAATTTCATTGGACTTTTTGAGAGTTTAGTCGACAACGAGCCAGGGTTATCAAATATAGAAAAGTTTAACCACTTGTTGTCATGCTTGGACAAAGAAGCATTAGGCACTGTCAAGGCATATCAGGTGACAGATGCAAATTATCCAAAAGCGTTAGCTGCTTTAAAAAATGTGTACGACAATCAGTGTCTCATATTTTTTAACAGCATTTCAAAACTATTTGATCTCCCACACATGTCCGAACCGTCAGCATCATCTTTGCGCATGCTGATAGACTCAGTCCGTGCCATTTACGAATCTCTTTTATCGCTAGGATCTGATAAGCAGATTTCGAATGCCATGCTCATCCATTTGGTAATGATGAAAGTGGACGCTGGCACGCGCTCTAGGTGGGAAGAGAATCTTGACTACAATAAGCTTCCATTGTGGCAAGATTGTGAAGCTGCCTTGAACAGACGGTATCAGCATTTAAGTGCTGAAGACTCATCTGGTCCACGTCGTAAGGTAGCTCAGGATAATAAGAAAAGAATTGGGAAAACTTCTCTAGCTGTCGCTCTGCCAAGTGAGCCGCAGAGTCCCAAATGCGTGTTTTGTAAAAAAGAACGATCACTTCATTCACTCGTGCTCGTCGTTCGCAGCAATACCTTGCCAGAAACGTTTTACGTTCGCAAAGAGCTATCCGCTCTGTATAAATTGTTTGCGAACAGGACACTCAGTGGCTGCTTGCAAATCAGCCCACTGTCGTGTGTGCTCTAAGCCGCACCATACCATACTGCATAGATACAGCTCTGAAGCGGCTCAAAGTAGCTCAGCAGTTGTATCAGCAGTCCCTCGTGTCACTTCGTCACAGATTTCATCTGTAAATCACGCACGGATAGCCTCTGATCAAGTTCTTTTGGCAACTGCAGTTGTGAAGATAAAAGATCAATCTGGATCTTATCACTTAGCTAGAGCTTTATTAGATTCCGGCTCGCAAGTAAATTTCATAACTGAAGAACTGGCAAAACAGTTGAAATTAAAACGGCAAAGATCTGGGATTCAATTGTTGGGCATTGCTAATTGTCAGTCATCTGTTCGGCACAGCGTTCAAACTTCGATAGCGTCCCGAACGGACGACATAGAAATCCGAACAGACTTTGGTGTGTTACGTTCCATTTCGTCGTATCAACCAGAGAAGCACACTGAAGAGATCAAGGTACCTGATAATGTACAATTAGCTGATCCTCAATTCCACAAGCCGCAACGTATTGATTTGTTGCTCGGTGCTGATATCTTTTTTGATATATTAAGAGAAGGCAAAATAAAAGGATCCGATAACAACCCAACATTGCAATTGACTGCCTTTGGTTGGATTGTATCTGGTCGCTGCCGAACATTGAATGCAGCTACTAGTTCGTCGACTTTCATTAGCGTCGTAAACGACGACATAGCTATAGATTCAATAGTTCGCAAGTTCTGGGAGTTGGAAGAAAAGCCAAATACAATTAATTCGAATTTGTATACCCCAGAGCAACAACTGTGCGAGAAGTCATTTGTGGAGACTATTGGCCAAACTACCTCGGGTCGTTTCAGAGTGTCGCTGCCATTCAAATCAAGCCCACATTGTCTTGGTACGTCTTACGACACAGCCAAGCGACGATTTCTGGCCTTGGAAAGAAGAATGAGCAAGCAAGAAGACATTCGGCCAATGTATATTGACTTTATGAAAGAATACTTGGCCTTGGGTCACATGAGCCCAACTAACAATCAAATTCCGAGAGAGCCGCATTATTTCATCCCATATCAATGCGTGCTAAGACCGCACAGCGCATCCACTAAACTTCGAGTAGTGTTTGATGCCTCTAGCAAGTCCTCCTCTCAATTGTCGCTGAATGATCTACTCATGGTGGGTCCGACCATCCAGCCGCAGTTATGGGAGACTTTGCTAAGATTTCGACTTCGTCCTTGGGCTGCTACAGCAGACATCGCTAAAATGTACCGTCAAATTGAACTTGACGAGTCCCACCGCAACTTTCAACTTATTGTGTGGAGGGAAACGCCCACTGATCCGTTACAAATCTTTCGATTAAACACAGTAACGTACGGGACAGCGACTGCTCCATTCTTAGCAATTCGATGTTTAAAACATCTAAGCGACTTGCATGCTTCCACTCATCCAGCTGCTGCAAGATCGTTAGCCCGAGATTTCTATGTTGATGACCTGTTGACAGGAGCAGATAGCGTCGAAGAATTGTGCTTGTTGCATCGAGACTTGATCGCAATTCTTCAAAAGTTTGGATTTCCTCTCACAAAATGGTCGTCCAATTGTAAACAACTCGCAGCACAACCAGCTAGAAACGATATAGTTATTGGTCATCAAGAGGACACAAAAACATTGGGATTAATTTGGAATCCAATGAATGACAGCTTTAGATATTCCATGAACTGTCCAGTAGAAGTTCAACAGACCAAAAGATCCGTTTTGTCATTTGTAGCAAGGTTATACGACCCCTTAGGTTTGTTAAGTCCGATCGTAACTCGTGCGAAGGTCCTTTTACAGGAAATGTGGTTGCACAAACTTGGGTGGGATGACCAATTGCCTGTTCAAATGAGGCAAGAATTTGAGGCAGTAACTAGCTGTTTCTCAAATCTAAACTCGTTGCATATACCTCGTTACGTTGGCACACTTAAATCGAAAGGATGTCAAATCCATGGATTTGCTGATGCCTCAACGAGAGCTTACGGTTGTTGTTTATACGTAAGAATGCAAACAGATAAGGGTATCACTACCAGGCTGCTAGTCGCTAAATCTAAGGTAGCGCCCTTGAAAACAAAATCTGTTCCGCGGCTGGAGTTGTGTGCTGCAGAATTGTTAGCTACCTTATGGGATGCGGTAAGGAAAGTACTTGATTGTCCTATTAATCAAGTCACATTTTGGTCAGACTCTGAGGTGGTGCTTCATTGGCTGCGAATGCATTCATCTAGCTTGAACACATTCGTTGCTAATCGCGTTGCAACCATCCAAGAGTTGACAACTAATGTATCTTGGCGTCATGTACCAACGAAAGACAACCCAGCAGATATTGTATCTCGGGGATGTTCAGTTGAGGAGCTTAAAACATCATTGTGGTTTTGCGGACCAGGATTTTTAAAGCTCTCTGACACATTGTGGCCAGCCAACCCACAAATCACCCTATCAAAGGAGTTAGAGCTGCTAGAGAAGCGTAGAACTGCAATTACTATGATCGCGGTCGATGAGGTAGCAAATCCTATCGTACATCTTATTGAGTCAACGTCATCATTTTCTAAGCTAATCCGCATCGTTGCCTATATGTTCCGCTTTATCAATGGAAAACAAGAAAGTCATTCTTCACTTGTTCCTACAGCTTCTGAGTTAAGCTTCGCATTCCTTGCAGTTATATCTGTAATTCAACACATTGAATTCAGCGAAGAAATAAAGAAAATAAAGAAGTCAGTCGTGTTGCAACCGTCATTGCAAAAACTGACACCATTTTTGCACCCACATCAGCATGGCAGGCGTATGTTATGGTTGCTACGAGTAGGAGGTCGTTTATTGAAGGCACCATTAGCACATAATGCCAAATTCCCATTGTTGCTTCCAAAAAATGTCGTTTCGTAACGCTTTATTTGGAGCATTTGCATCACTCTCATTGCCACGCCAATCCCCTAGTACTAATGGGCCTGCTTCGTCAGCAGGTTTGGCTGGTCAATGCTCGACAGGCTTGCAGTGCAGTAGTCCGAAAATGTGTACATTGTTTTCGCTACAAGCCGAAACTCTTATCCCAAATAATGGGCAATCTTCCCGCTGATCGCTTACATGGAAATAGGCCATTTGAGATCAGTGGAGTGGACTTTTGCGGTCCAATACTAGTTTCGCTGGGAATTCGGGGCAAATCGCCAGTCAAAATGTATATTGCCATATTTGTTTGCTTTACTTCGAAGGCAGTGCATCTTGAATTAGTCACCGATTTAACCACAAATTCATTTCTAATGTGTTTATCCAGGTTCGTTGGTCGACGTGGGCTTGTCCGGAAGCTGTACTGCGACAATGCCACCAATTTCGTGGGTGCTGCACGCACGCTGGACCTCAAAGCTACGTTCCATGGCAACACAGCGGACATGGAAATGTTTGCTGCGGAGCGGGGCATGGAGTTTGTATTCATCCCTCCTCGAGCACCGCATTTTGGCGGCCTTTGGGAAGCGGCGGTGAAATCCGCCAAAGGTTTGCTGCTGAAAGCGATGGGCAGCGCTCGATTACGGCAAGACGAGGTGGCCACCGTGCTGGTCGAGGTCGAGGCCGTGCTCAATTCGCGGCCAATGGTCGCTCCCAGCAGCAACCCCAACGACGGCGAAGTGCTCACGCCAGGGCACTTCCTGATAGGAGCAACGCTCGTGCCGCTGCCAATCGCGTCCACAGAGCCAGTCGACGACGTCAAGCTGACACTATTAAAAAGATGGCAGCTGACATCCAACATCAAGCGTCGATTTTGGAACGACTGGTCAAGGGACTACCTGCTCAGCCTGCAGCAGAAGTCAAAATGGACGAAGGAGAGACAGAACATACAGGTCGGAGCAGTCGTGCTCGTGGGAGAGGACAACGCTCCTCCACAACAGTGGATGCTAGGCGTGGTGACGGAAGCCATAGTCGGAGGAGATGGTAGAGTGCGCGTAATTGTCGTTAAGACAAAAAATGGCACATATAAAAGGGCAATTCATCGCGTTGCACCACTGCCACTCCACTAATACACCATGTTATTGAAGCCCTGCGGCCTTTCAACGCGGCCGATGTTAAGGCATTTGGATTGCCTTCTGAAATATTATTATATATTATTATAAGAAATTGAATTATTATGAATTATTAATTGAATTATTATCGAAATTGTATAGGTTAAGTACTTGAAGCTGAACCACTGTACAGAAAAGTTGTTATTGTACGCGCTAGCACGGGAGTGTCGCTCTCCAAAAGATCGCTCTCTCGCTGCTCGCTGTTAGATGCGCATAGGTGCGCTCTCTACTGTGCAAGCTGCGCTTGCGTTCATGTTAAATTTAATAAATTCAGTACAAAATTGAACACCGGTGCCAGCACTTCGTATATTTCAGAGAGACCGCAAGTTGCTGTCTACTTTTTTTTATAAATATTATACACTGGCCATCGAAGGACCAGACTCCTTTTGGAAGGACAATGTCATTTAACAAGCAACACTTATTTCCAACTGAAAGCTGTATAGTTGTTGCAGCTCTTAAAGGCTTAGCATTTGGCATCCTCTGCGTATACGCAATATCCAGCGAGCAGAGCAATCCCCATCGGAATAGCCCGACTGGCGAAGACAGCCCAGCTGCTGTTCAATGCAAAACCCATTGCCATGCGTCATTCGAAATGCCCGGCAGCACTCAAAAGATCAAAGACAACAACAAGCATCAAAGCAATTCTATTGTCGAAGAGATTTAAAGGCCATCGATTCCACAGCAAACAACAACAGCAACAGCAACAGCACCAGCAACCGCAACAGCAGCAGCAAACAGCAAACAGCAAATACGCGATTAGGGATCGTCTTTGCATTGTTTCCAGCTAAGCTTGGCAACGATTCCTGCTCATATGAAATGTTTGGCAGTAAATTTTCCAGCTGAAGCATATTTTATTCATTTCGATTGCTGTGCTGTGTTTCTACAGGTGTTTAGAGCATTCCTACGTGCAATTCAACGTGCATATAATTTCAGAAAATTGTTTTCACTTTAGCTTCTCGACAATATTCATTTGCTTGACAATCGTTACCACTGAGAATGCCAGCTTGGCCATCTGTAAGAGGGAATTGCTATCATACTTATCGGAGCTCTTGATTTAGTAGCCCTCACCTCAATGTTGGTTCTCATGCAGATAGGAAAGATACCGCCGGCAATGAAGACAATCGGCTGTTGGGTCTGATGCAGAAAGAAGGCAAGAGTCGCCTTATAACGCTTGCTCGCACTTACCCAATCCGAATGAAAAATGGCATGAGTCAGATCGATGCAATCGTCTGCAATCAGCTCGCTGATGAAACAAAACGGAAATGTTTCGATCATCAAGACCATAATGAAGACGAACGTGGCCATGCCCGTCCAGATAGTCGAAAAGAACATTAAATTAACCATCGCAAGGCCCAGGCTCAAGCCAATCGATAGAAACTGAGCAAAAATGGGGCCTGTTACAAGTGGTCGAATGTCGTTCGAAAATCTGTGAATATATCGAATTTAATTTTAATCTTCAGTAGAACTCTCCTCCACTTACTGGAGAATATTTTTGTGATCTTTGATGCAGTTGACCAGCTTCGCGTACTCCTCATCGTCGCTTTGGCTCTGGCCCCTGCGCAATCGCTCAACGCGCGCTATCAAAAGTTTCATATGAGTTCTTAAGATGATGCCGAAGATTACCGGATAGACGTCTATAAATTGATCCATAATGACGGCTGCGGCTCCCATGAAAGATTCAATGCAAGCTGCTATCAAAAAGGCTTGCTTACTAGAATGGGAGTCCACGAACGGAATGTAGATTCCCCAAGGGGTAGACCCGGTTAGAAAGGAGCTTGCGCAGGTCAGCACGGTGTATGAGGTGTACGCTGTCTGATAGACCATATAGATGAAATTACAGCGTGCGACGCAACGATGTATGACTTCGCCTGCTCCCTCCTGGATGCATGGCCTATCCAATATATCGAGTAGCTGCTTTAACTGCTCGAAGCGCCACAGATTCGGTAGGATAAGGATAAGCTTTACTCCCAGGCAAGCCGAATTGAATGCGACCTGTATGGAAGTCAGAAAATCTCCAGGCGTGAAGCCACTGAAGTTGACGAAGTAGCTGAGGAAGAAGCCAAAGGGCATATAGGCGCCAGCTAAGCCCGTTACTAAGAACGCATAGGCGCAGTAGCTCCAGTATTTGGGATGGTCTCTCGATGGCGGCATCCAGCCAATAAATCGCATGCCCTTTTCCACATACGTGAATGCATCTCGAGATGGCCGCAAGTCACCAAGCGATGGCGGCCTCAAGTACTCAACCGACATATTTCCAGAGATTACTTCCTGACTCAATGAAACTCGGAGTAGAACTGCAAAGGGTTTCTTATGCGAATGGGCTATATATATCATTTGCTTTTCATATCATATTTATAAATCAATGCATTTCTTTGCATGTTACGTAAAATCTTCCATCTGCTATAGTTCTCATCGGAGTTGTCATAACAATCGCAAGATATAATTTTCACAGTTTGACAGTTGGGCGTAGCTCGGCTAAAAGGGGCGTAAGGCAATGTCAAATCCAGATGTATTACAGCACATATGTCAGATGTACGATTGGTCAAGGTCTCTGTATAACTAATTAGTTTCATATCTAAAATATTGCCCTATCTCTGCCCTAGCTCTTGAGGAATTTCGTCTGGCTTTGCGGACATATTTCATAGCATATTATATATTCATAGTTTATTCTAGTTTTTACATATTTTACTAGCCATGCTCGTTTGACTGATTCGAAATGGGCGTGGCACACGGCACAGCGCGAACAATTTATGCAGTTTTCAATGCCATTTGTCAGCTGTGGCTCCCGCAGCGCCATTTGGCCGAGTGTTGGTCGGGCGATAATTCTCCGGCTAAATGCTACCAAATTAGTTTGAAATTATCTTGTGAAATAAATCGCGGCGCTGTGAGCGGCTTTTTATTGCATTTTATGAGCTCAAATTATTTATTATTTGCCGCATAATTCGCTTCCGAGCTGCAAACGCTTATGGTACGCTCGAGGCTCATGCGATTAAAACTGTTTTAAAAACCCAAAATACGATCAAAGCAAGCAACAACAGCAAAAAATAGAATGAAAATCAGAATGAAAATCAGTTTAGCCGGCAAAACGGCGGCAATTTGTTGCCGCAACATGTGGGCCCGGCGACCAGGTGGTAATTATTCTTAAAATCGTGCCTAATTACTCAAAATGGTGTTTACCTCAAGATTGTGAACTGCACACTGACTGCCAGCAGTATGTGGCCAAGGCAATTCAATTAAAAAGAAACAGAAATATGTTTATATAAAACTTGAATTTAACAGATAGAAAATATATAGAGACAAGTGCTGAGATTTTAGTGTGCGTGAACTTTTAGCTAGCATTGTGCCTGCAGTAGTTCTTGTCGTGTAGAGATTGTGTGCGCCAACTGTTTCTCAGATCGAAGCAAGAATTCAATAAACTGAACTTTTTTCAACCCGCTTCCGGGCTTTGCGATTTTTGCTGTTTCTTTGGACAACTTCTGTAGACTTTGGCTTTGTTTTAGCCACCAACTGTGGTTGGCATTTTTATTATTGTTTGCCCTGTTGCCAGAGTTGTTGTTGCTGCTGCTGCTGCTGTTGGCTGGTAGCTCTTGATAGCCTTGTGATTTTATTTCTGAAAGATTTGCGCCGCTTTGTCGGCCATGATAAATACACAGAAACAGCAAACAGTTTCAGGTTCTTTTTTTTGTTGGTCTGTTCTATATACATATATAACATACATATATATGTATTTTTAGGTTTCGTTTTTACTGCATTCTCTGCTCTGGTGGCCGCAGGACAAAATACCAGCTCTCAAATCACATTGTAGCTGTTGTTGCTGCCGTTGAGTCAACAATTTAAGACACAATTTGGCATTTGTTGCTGCTGCTGCTCCTGCTGTTGCTGCTGCTCATTGGCACTCAGTTAAGGAACGCATCCGTAGCAAATATTTCAAGTTAGACACAAACAGCTATGACAGTGCTCGAAGGACTTGGACCACACCTTGTCTTCGAGTGTGGATGCTGCTGTTGCTGTTGCTGTTGCTGTTGCATACAGTTGGCCAGGGACAATTCATCAAACAGCAAGACAGAAATGAGCAACGGGGGTCGTCGCTGTGTTGACACTGACATAGGAGGCGCTGCCAGGCGGCTCCAGCTGAGTGATGACCGACGACAATCGGCGAAAACGAAAGCCGTAACATCCAACCAGCCAGCCAGCCAGACCGACAGACAGACGGACAGTTGCAGTCGCCGTCGCACTCAGAGCCTATGCTGGGCGATCGGAAACTTCCTGGAAATTAATTAAAGCTCTAACTGCGCAAAGAGCTGCAGCCGGCTCCAGCGGCTGCTCAATAATTATCGACGCTTATCAAAGGCCCCGTTACAGATGCGCGCGCACTCACATGAGCTGGCCACCAAGTATGGAGCTGCAGCAGAAGCTGGCATCATCTAGCTGGAATGTGCCTCTCGGATGCTGTTGCTGTTGCTGCTGCTGCTGCTGCTGCTGCTGCTGCTGTGTCGGCTTTTGTTCATTTTGGTGCGGCGCAATTAATATTCAACGCCGTTGGCTGATCATAATTTACGTGCTGAGTTTACGATGCGACTCCGACTTGGACTTGGACTGCGACTGCGACTGCAACGAGCGACTATGCTTGGGGGCGTAACCGCCAACCGCTAGCAAAGTGGGCGTATTCGTTTGCTAGTCACACAGGCGAGGCCAGTCAACAATAGCGCATAGCATAGCTCGGGCTGCAGCCAGAGTATCCTGTTGGCTATGTATTCTATTTACATTTAAGGCCGGCTTACACGTGTTTCTGCACATGCGTGCAACAGACGCAGCTCGTTGAATGCCAACGCCAACGGCGATCGTTTATATATGTATATAGAGGCACATATATATATATATGATATATAAATTGAAATCAGGTTTCACAATTCCAAATAAATAACGCAGCTGCCTAATTAGGCAGACAGCCAGCGTCGTAGTCAGAGCTCCTTTCGTCTGGCCACCCATTGTCAACGTTATGAGCCGCTCTGGAAATAGGGTTAAGAGTGACACCCAGGAGACCTACATATGCGAAAGAGTCATTTGCATTTGCATTTGCGCTGCCTAACGACGACTTGGCTTGGCTTCGCCGATCTGGAGTCAGGGCCGCTGCCATTCACTCGGGCTGCAGGCAAATCTTTAAGATAGACCCGTCCGACCACAGACGACAGCTAGTCAGGGCAGTCACTCAGCCACTCAGTCAGTCAGTCAGGGAGTCAGGGAGTCAGGGAGTCACTTGGTTGCATTTCACATGGATTTATGCAGTCATTCGCGCCAGTTTTTTGGTTTCCTTTTCTTCTTTTTCAGTTTTTTTGTATTTCTCATTTTTGCCATTTCATTCGGTCGCTTGCGGTTATCAAAAATCCATCGATGTGGCCCGCAGTTGGAAACCGAGGGCAATCCCAGAGCCGTAGCGGTCATTAAAATATATATGACACCCACCAGAGCCACGATGCGATGTCTACGAGTAGTAGTTGGCGAGCATTCTCCCTCTCTCTCGCTCTCGCTCTCGCTCTCACTAATAAGACGCGGTTGCGCGTGCCCTGTGCCGTCTCTTTTCAGCATCAAGCATCAAGCATTGAGTGGTGCTTGTATGGTGGTGCTGTTGCTTCGTGGTGTGTGGTCCAATTAATTTTTCGGATAGAGCAATCAACATGTTTCTTTTTCGGCGTTTCAAGTGGTTGTTGCCTCGACTGTTGCCTCGACTGTTGCCTCGACTGTTGCTGTTGCTGGTCTTTATGGCCGTTGTTCAACATGTTGCAGGTCAATTTGTTGCCGTTTGTCGTCCTCCGAAAATGTTTGGCTGTGACGTGTGTGGTCCACTCTCTGCTGTGTGTTGCTCGTTTTCGAAGAGGTTTCAGTCCTCAATTAGTTGGGCTTGTCAACGCGCCTCATAATCCCTAATTAGACGACAAACAGCTCGTCTTTGGCCTAACCCCTTTTTTGCCTTGTTGGCCCTATGCGCAGTTGGCGCAGCTCGCGCCTTACCTTGCATGGGCTTTGGCTTCAGTTTTGGCTTTGGCTTTGGCTTTTGGTTCGTTCGCATTCTTGTCTTAATTAATTTGATGGCAAAGTGCATTCGTGGCTCCATTTTGGAGCGTGTTGCCCTGACAATATTTGCCTTTGCCGCACTACCAATTGTTAGCCCACATTCGTCGCGCCAGCCTCCTGCTAATTAGCAGAGTGTGCCCAAAGCCCATGTCTACATGTGACTATGCAAAGAGCTAGATGTGTGTGTGTGTGTGCATGTGTGTGTGTAGGTGAGCGGCTTATATGGCATTTTGGCTGTGACTGTGGCAGTGGCTGACACTGCAAATGCAAATGCAAATTGGCAAAGATGAATGCTCCTTGCTTTCGTTTTGGATTTTGGCTTGTAGCCTGCCGTTTCTATTACTGCTGCAGCTGTTGTTGTTGTTATTGTTGCTGTTGCTGTGGTAACGAAGTTGTTGCTTTTCAGCATTGTCCTCAATCTAATCAGTGAAAAACCTGGTGCTTAAATTGCTGTTGTGTTTGTTTTGTGCTCTTGCAAATTATATGCTGTGCTGTGGCATCAACTTAATTAGAATCGACTTGGGATTATTATTGTCATCATATATAAAATGATTACAAATATAGCAAAGTGAATTGTTATTGCCTGCTTATGCTAACTACTTTACATATCTGCATTAAATTATATTGCCTTTTTGTAACTCTCTCTCTTTCTGTCTCTCTCTGTCCTCTATCTCTCTCTCTCCGCCTCTTTCATTGTCGTTTTTCTACATCCAATCACACGCCATTCGATAAAACTATCAAAATCTGTTAGCACTGCTTGAATTTATGAAAATCGCATAGAAAGGCGACTCGTAAAAAGGGAATTCTATTTCTATTGCCTGCAAGTATAATGAGAAACGCGGCAAACATCTGGCTCTCTCCGTCTCCCTCTCTTTCTCTCTCCCGACAGACTCAGTAACAAGCGTGTCTATGTCGATGTAGATGCAACTGGCTGTGGAAATGGTCTTGTGATAATGCTATGCAGCTCCCAGGCGAATACCTTGGCACAGGGACTTGTCACTGGGGCAGTTGAAGTCGCCCGCTCCGCCTGCTTAGAGCACCGACAATAAAAGATAATCAAGCTGCTGTTGCTGCTCCGTCTGCTGCTCTGGCTGTGCAGCTCCTTGGAATAAATTGCCATGTTGTTACAATTTCTTCGTGTTGCCGGCATAAATTTCGAGCTGAGCTGTGGCATGTGCAAATCCGCGCCTGCTGCTCCCAG